GATAACATTCATTAATATGACATATTCATCAATATATAAGAAAGATTAGTTTTCAGAGTAGGGTAGGGAAGTTGTTCACGGTGTATTTAAGAAAACAAGGAGATACCAAGTTTAAATAACTATAGGCAAGACAGGGAAGAGATTGTATGTCTATACCTGAAGGTTCAAAGAGAGACCCAGGTGATTTGATGGCATAAAAATGACATAGGAACATGAAAGAAAACCTAGATGCAATGTGGCCAAGTTCCCATGCTGGAAAGCAGTAAAATTTAACAACTTGCAAGAGAAAATGAAAACTACAAAGGAAATAACAAAGGACTGTCTGAAAAGTCTGGAAAACTAGGAAGAAAGCAGTTTCTGAAAACCAAAAAAGAGAACACATTTAAAGGGAAAAAAAGCAGCATGATGAACAGAACCAAATACTCAAAGAAAACAAGTAGTAGAAGGACTGAACTATTTCAGCTTGCAACTGGGGTGTGTATTTCCTCCGAGCAAAATTCATTGGCCTTCTGAAGACAGACAGCTCTTTGGGCTTTACTCCAGAGGGAATGGTGTGCCTTGATCAAATGAAGTCATAAGCCTTGGAGAAATCTTCCACCGCCAGAGAAAAGGAAAAGGAGTGAGTACAGAAAGAGATAGGCTTATGCGCAGGGAGTTCACAGATAGCTGCCATCATCTCAGAGAGACAAGAGGAAACTCAACAGCAGACAGTGGGGAAGCTGGGGGAAAGAGGTGGAGAATTTGAGAGGAACAGTGAGTGTCTGGGCACAGGTGTGTTGAGGAATGAGGGGGGAGTTAATCAAGGACACTTTAAGAAGGAATACTGAGCGGGCTTTAGCTCAGAGGTAAAGCTGTAGATTTTATTAAGTGAGATCAGACAAACAAGCTTGAAATATAGCATGGTTTCTCTTATATGAGAACCCCAAAATATAAGTAATGAGCAAAAGAAAAGGTAATTAGGAAATAGGGAGATCTTTTTCAAATGGGAAGGGAAACAAGAGGCAGAGGGAAGGGAGAGGGAGAAAAGGAAAAGGGGATAAAAGAGAAAAAAATAGTTTTTGCAAATGGGAAGAGGATCAAGAGATAAAGCAGCAAGGAGGGAGGGCGTGGAGTAGGGAATGAAAACAGAATTAAGATTTCTTATGCACATGTATCACAACAGATGTAATCATTATGTACTGCAAACACGTACTAATAAAAATTAAAATAAGTTACATAAAATATTGGTTAAAAAAGAGCTAATCAATATTGAATTTTTCCATTCTCAGTTATCTTGGTAAAGGATGGTAGAAGCCAAGGCCTTACTGATCAAACACAGCAGTTTACTTTGCTTAAATTATAATTCACACATTTAAGAAAAAAGGAATTGTATAGAAAAAAGGAGTTGAAAAGCCTATGGGATGAAGATTTAGATAATCTAAGAAACCTAGAAGTCTCTATATCTACTATGTTCAATATGAATGGATCATCCTCTGCCAGACACATCTTTTTCAGATCCCGCATTCCCTATTTCAATGAATAGCTCTGTAGCTTCTCAGAACTAAGTTCATTCTTGACCCCATCCTCTCTCCCCTTGCCCCTACACATTCAATCCTATTTACTCTATTTCCTTAATAGCACACCTGCACTGACTCCTCTGTACCTTTGTACAGATAGCTCCCTCTGCAGTGAACCACCCTACCCTATTTTTCTCATTTTCTGAAAACTGCTCATATATCACTTCCTCCAGAAAGCCTTCCCTCTTGATCCCTTACCCTCCAATCTCCAAAGTGGAACATGCGGATCATACCTCTTTTGAGCACTTAAAACTTTATTGTAATTGTCTATTCCTTCCTCTCCTGCTTTGTCTGTAAAATAAATTCCTTTCACATCAAGATTATGTCTTTTACTTAAAGCACTCAGTACCTAATACAGAATTGTTTTTTGAATTAATGAATAATTATAAAAATACAAAAAAAAGCAAAATGAAAGGATATCATCTGAGAGTAAGAATCTGCTGTTGTTTAAAATTGTACGAGGTGATTCACAATGGAATATATCAGTGATGTGGAACAAAAGATACTCAATAAGAATTACCATGGATTAAATCAATGCCTCTATTAGGTTTAGGCCCATTATAACATTGCATGGAACTTATATTTCAGAATGCTAGATCTACATCTCCAGTAGATGGTGGTCACAAGCTGCCAAATTAAAAGAAAAACATCACCTTTAACTGCAACAGCCCAAGTTCCTGTGTAAGAAACAGGGACATGAGAAAATATTCCTTTACCTCAGAAGCTCTGGGGAAGCTTCCTCCACATGGTGTGCTAGCTTCACAGTAATGATTTGTAACTCAAGAGCAGTTTTAGGATATTTATGTTTAAAGAAACAAAATTCTGTCTCAGAATCGTACTTCAACAGATCCACTATTTTGTTATGAAGAAGAACATTCAAAAAGAAAATAAACATTCAGACAGAAAACAGCAGCTATGGGTGTTCACATGAAAACAGCATCTGCTTTCTAGTAATGAAAGCTCAAATCTTCCCATGGCTAGCGTGACTCCAATCCTACAAACCTCCTCTTAGTGATGTCTGAGCTGATTTATTCCATGTAAATTTCCATGCAAGTTGTTCCCTAAGTAATTTATACAAATTCTTCTTCATATTAATACAGTGTCCTGTGATCCAATGTCCCTCTAGACATTCAATACTTCATTATCAGCAAAACATTGCCATTGTTCTAAAATAATCAACCATACAAGTTTCTTGAGCAAAATCCTTAACCTCTCTTAACAATTCCTCATCTGTGAAAAGAGAATAATAATTCCTGAATCCCAGGATTGCTGTCAAAATGACAGCTAATTATTGATGTGCAAAAAGGAACTATCACTGGACTTAGCATCGCAGTCTGCTAATCACAAGAACTCTCTGCTTTCTACTTTCTATAATTTTCTTTTTCCAGTTTAATTTTCTTGAAGAGATTTATAATTTGATTTTGTTCATTTTTGTAAACGTATCGATAATACACAGAAATATGTATCATTTACATGTTTATTACGTATGTTGGGGTGAAGGCCTCTCCCTCAATAGGTTTTTCTGTGTATTTTTTGTGGGTTGTCCACTTTTCTTCTCCATCTACAGATTTCTGCTGTATTGAATAAAGTTAAGAATTTGGATAATTAATTTCACAACTAAGAAAAGGAAGTATCTGTTCTTTTCAAGCTAAAAGTAGGCTGTAAAGAAATTATTTTCACAAGGCTATATTTAGTTAAATTCAGAATTAACAGATAAATGGAGACATTTTATTACATATTCTCTACTTTTCAATTATTTCTTTTTAGGAACCATTCTTGGCCTTTTTCTACCCTCAAACAGGTAAGGTATGAAGTATGATTCTGTAGCTTCAGTTTTAAAAACTGAATTATAAACATTGCAGTTTGACTTACTTTGCTTATTATCCTTCACACACGTAAGTAAAAATAATTTTTAATTAAAAATTCATTATCAAAATAGATCTTGTGCAAGCTGGATGTGGTGGTACAAGCCTGTACTCTCAGTGCTCTAGGAGGCTGAGGCAGGAGAATCCAAGTTCAAGCCCAGCTCTGCCAACTTAGTGCCTTAGCAAGACCCTGTGTCAAAATAAAAATTAAAAAGGGGCTAGAGACTTAGCTTGGCACAAAAGGCCTTGGGTTTAATCTCCAGTACTAAAAAATAAATAAATAAAAATAGAAAGTGTAAACAAGATAGTTTATGCTGACCTGCTTTCCTTCTGGGTGGCTGGAACTTTGGTAGGTGCTAGGTAATAGGTTCCTGTGACCAGCTCCCAGTGAACACAAAGTCTCTAGTGAGCTGTCCTACTAGATAAGATTTTGCATATGCGCTAACAATTCCTTACTGGAGGATTATTCCACCGGGAGAGGACCTTTGGAGGCTTACACCTGGTTTCCTCCAAGTTTTGCCCCATTTGCCTTTTCCTTTTATTGATTTTGTTTTTCATTCCTTTGCTAAAATAAATCATATGTGAGTACGATTATAAATTATAATAATTACTGTGAGTTTTTCGTATAAAATCAAGAATATTGGCAGCGTCTTCAAGACCTCCAACACTGATGCCATAGTCTTTAATCAAAACATCTGCTCTTATCCAGGTGTAATGGTGGACACCTGCCATCCCAGTGCTGTGGGATGCTGAGGCAGGAGGATCACGGCAACTTAGCAAGACCCTGTCTCTAGAAAGATATAGATGATAGATGATAGATGATAGATGATAGATAGATAGATAGATAGATAGATAGACAGATAGATACAGTGAGTAAGGACTCTGGATATAGTTCATCCCCAGACTGAAAAAAAGGTTACTTCTCGGTTTTTGGTGGTGGTGGTTGTTGTTGTTGTTGTTGTTGTTGTTTTTGTACCAGGGATCAAACGCGGGTCCTTGCGCTTGAGCAGCAGGCGGAGCAACTACTGAGCTAAATCCCTAGCTCGTTTTTTGTTTACTTTAAAAAATTTTTTTCTTAGGTACACCATTTAGGAATAGAAAGAAATAGACTGAGTAGTTAAGATTGACAATTAATTATACCAACTTTGCCATAATAGCAACTTATTCAGCAGGTGATTAAAAAAAAGCTCACAGTGGGCTAATTATGAACTGTGAAACAATTCGGATTTTCTATTAGATGATATAGTGCATTGTATAAATATGAATTTTAGACTATTTGAATAGATTGTAACTTCTTAAGATATTTGAAAATTCTCACTATGTAACTGACAATTTTATCAGCTTTCCTTAGAAACCAATTTCCCTTTAGAGAATGATAATAAAGCCCATTCATTTTTTAATTTCAAAATGAAATACATTAAAGATGTCTTATTTTCAGTCTTGAAAAACATAAATATATTAAGTATGCATTTGTTCCACAACATTTCTTAAAATCAAAGTCTCCTTAGGTGAGAATTCTGAACTCTTTAAATTGCTCTGAATTACTTCTCAATATTATTTCCAATGGTAGAGAACTTACATTTTTTTGCAGTGTGGGCACTTTGCCAGAGTGTTGAACCTCAGTTCCATCCACTGTAAGATAAATAAAGAGAGATCGAAAAGAAAAACAACTGAAAACTATCCAATCTGATAAAATGTTTCCTTTAGTTTAAATGTCATCAGGATCACAGTTGAAGCTATCAATCCCTTCTCATGGTTACATCAGTTCTCCCTCCCACAGTTCTCTCCTCCCCTTAAAATAGTTTGGGATACCCTGCCAAAACTGTTCCCATGACTTCTCCACGGCTCTGACGCAACAGAGAGATTTGTTTTACAATGAATATAATGCCCTACTTAGGGTCATTTCTGAACACTTCAGTTCATTTCCAGGGTATTTCACTTACCTTCAAAGTTGTTTTGCCTTTAAGTCTTGAGGACAAATCTTTTAAATAGTGGAATATTTAGATGAATTACTACATAGTGTTTAAATGAGTAACAATATTACACTACTGGAATATATTTCAATAGATATAATAGACCATAGATAACACTTTTGAAGTGTGTTAAAGTGGACAAAAAATGTTTGAACATGCAACATAAAAATATCTCAGATATTAACAATGATGCATACTAAAAGTGCTAAAGATTACTCTTACAAAAAAATCCGTTTATTTTTTTGTATCCTAGCAATTCCCAGTGATTATGGGACTCTTTATTCACGGAACACCTCTAAGTATCATTTTAAATGAATGTGTGTTGAACACTTTGAAAAACACCAATCTAGCTTTTCTTAACTATATCTATGGTTCCAACCAGGCTATGAAATGAGTAGTGTGAATACTGTGAACTCCTAACAAACTTAATTTTAGCCTTATAATACTGATATATTAAAAGTTTATTTATAAACAGAAAGATGCTATTGAAAATATAGCTTATTACATTGTTCTTTTATCTTCATCATGGTAGACTTCTCTTGCAGGTCTCAGAATTATAGAAATAGCTTTTTCTGTGTGACCTTTTTGTTAAAATATCATTACTATCTTAATAATAGATCACTTTGCTCCACTGACTATGAAAAACTTGGAATTAAGATTCAGTTTAATTTTATCAACATGCAGGACTAAATATTATACATATATTCTTATACATAACTTCATGTTTTATTTCTCATCCTATTTTTTATTCTCTTAGATTTTTTTTCATATTTTACTTTCAATCTTATTGAACTGAATGTATCTTTGTAATTTGTCTCAATTGCTGAGGGGCCTTATAAATCCAAGAGTTGTTACAAAGCTGAAAGAAAGTAGGGAATAAATAAATGGACTATCTTTATAGTTTGCAGAACAAAGAATATATGATAAAAGACCTAAGACTAATCATGATCAGCATAAGACTGAGGTTGCTAATCAGACTTAAAAGCTTTGTAGTGAATGTTTTATGATACTGAAGCCTCTCTCTGTTCTGTAGGGAACTGGGAAAGGGGACCCTACTAGAACCTCTGCAGTAAATCCTAGTCTCCTGCGAGCCACCGCAGCACAAGGCGAATTACAAGAAAGGTAGAAAAATGAGACTGAGAAGAAGCTGAGCTTTGGGTCTGATCCATGCTGCTCTGGGTGGCAAAGACGAAAGCCCCCAGCTTACCGCAGTTTTTATTCAGTACATCGAGAGAAACAAATTAACAGATGACTTGCAGAGAGTTCAGTACATCCGCTTAAACAAGATGTAACAATCCAAGAACAACGAGGAACTGAGTAGATGTTTGTTCCTCCCAGGATGTTTTCAGTTCCCAGGATGTTTCTTGTCCTGGAGAATCACAGCATCACCGGATCATTGAGGTCTCAGTTGTGATAGGAGGCCAAAATGGAATTATGTCTCAGAGTTCCATAGCTGGGCTGTAGGCAGGAGAACTAGGCTAACCAAATGATTTTACCCTAAAATTATGTAGCATTGCTCCCGACACTCTTCCTCTTCCTCTCCCTTTTTCCAGTGTTGAGGATTGAACCCAGGGCCTCAGGCATGGTAGTTCTTTACCCCTGAGCTACATCCTCAGCCCCACTGAGCTTCTCCCATTAATCTGAAACTCTCAAAAGCATTTGCTATCCTTTAGGTATCTACTTTGTTACCCTAATCACCAAAAACTGTTTTCCAGAAATACTGAAATCACCTTTAAATATTATATTTTTAATCCAAGCATCTTTTCCTTCTAAAGAATTAAAGTTTTTATTAATAATTACTGTGCAAATAGGACACATTAATATGATTCCTTGTCTGCACTAAGTACTAAGTAAGAAAGACCTAAGTTTATAAGTTAGCCTGTAGTTTGCGTATTGCTTTATAATTTATTTATGGTGTAAAAATATCTAAATGCACAAATGATTTTTGAAAATAATAAAAATCATGCACATGCATATCTATTTAAACTCTCCATTTAGATGATTTTCTAGAATTTTTCACTGTCAGATGCTTCTAAAAAAATCAAAGATAAAACTAACTTTCTGATTTTCCTTTTCCTTATTAACAGTATTGCCAATTCTTAAATTCCTTTTGTTACTCCTGGCCATCATCATCACTTTTCTGAATAATGAGAGCCAGACACCGAGTCCCATGCCCATTAAGCTTTTCCTTGCGCATCCCCACCTATACATACCCTCAGGATGTACTCAAGTAAGTGTAAAGCTCCCGCTTCGCTTTCCATTACTCTAGGAAGAGGTCACTTTCTCGGGGCTGGGTGCTCTGTGTGTGCACTAAGAATACTCTGTACTTCCCTATGCTATAGTCTAAACATGTTTCATGCAATTCTCCTTTTATTTGTCTTTCTCCTACTATTAGATGAGAAAATGTTATGAAAATAGACTGTTCTACCTGTTCACCACTGCTTCTCAGAACCTGGCCCAGTACCTGATACAAATATATAGTGCTGAATAAATGTAATCGGCTCATTTGTAATGTGGCTACAGGATTATTCATAATTACTCACTCCAAGGATTAGGAATATAAATCTAACAAGGCAGAATGGAGGGTGGTTGTGGAAGGGAAATGCCCACGTAAGTTGAAAATAAATCTATTTTGAAGATTTTTAAGTGATACTACTTTCAAAATAGAATTTGTTCAATTTGATAACAAATGTTTAATATATATTTAGTTGTTGATTCACTTTTTATTTTTTGATTTCTATTGAATGTGTCAATCTACATTAAATCAATATAAAGTGATTTTTTAAAATAAATTTGTTACCTATCCCATCAACTATATTTTCTAATTTATGTAGATGCTGCTTTAATCAATAAAATATAAATGCAAAGATTTATATTATCCTACTACAACATAAAAATCCTAGCAATTCTGATTAAATATAGTAAATTGAATAAATGCATGTATTTCTATTTCCTTCTCCAAACCTGATTAAAATGATAGCAAGTGAATTTAAAAATGAATGCTACCATAAGGACAAAGAAAACCAAATGGGAAATGGTTTCAAATATTTGAACAGTGGAAAGTAGTCAAAGATATGACAACTGACTTCGTGAAAGAGCTGAGAAACTTAACTGTATACAGAAGGATATATGGATGAAAGCTGGCTGCTTCACAGAGAGGAATTGCACAAAACTTCAGATATTGGGATTACCAGGTACTTTCAGAGATAGGTTAGCATTAGGAATAAAAGGAAGGAATAACACACTCCTGTGTAAGCAAGATATGCAAACAACACAAATGTCCCAAGGACAAATGAATAGATCAAAAAATTATGATACATAGCTGGGGTGCAGTGGCACATGTAATCCCAGCTACTTGGGAAGCTGAAGCAGGACAGTCCCAAGTTTGAGGTCAGCCTGGACAACTCAAAGAGAATTTGTCTCAGAATAAAAAATAAAAGACTGGAGATGTAGCTTAGTATAAGGTCTGGTTCAATCCTCAATACCACCAAAAAAGAAGGATGATGACAAAGAGGAGAAGAGGGGGAGGAAAGAAGGAAGGAAGAAAAGAGAAATTATGCTACATACATAAAGATTATTTAATCTTTTTTAAAAAGCAGGAAATTCTGCCATTTGTGACAACATAGGTCAACCTGCAGGACATTATGCTAAATGAAACAAGCCAAACATAGAAAGATAAACACCATATGGTCACACTTGTATGGAGAATCTAAAATAATCAAAGTCACAGAAGCAGAGAGTAGACTCATTGTTGCCAGAGGCAGGAGGAAGGCGAGGGAAAATGAGGGGATGTTGGTCAAAAAATATAAAGTTTAAGAAGGCAGGATGAATAAATTCTGGAGATCTAATACATTGTGTGGGAACTATGGTTAAGAATATTGGATCATAAACTTTAAATTTACTAAGAAGGTAGATCTTCAGTGTTCTAGCCACATATCCACAAAAATGGTAATGATATGTTAATTAGTTTGATTGTGGTGGGTCATTTCACAATGTATAACATATATAAAACCATCAAATTATACACCTTAAATATGTACAATTTCTGCTTGTCAATTATATCTCAATAAGGCTGGAAAAGAAATAAGAGCAGTATTGGTTGTAAACTCTCCCTCCATACCACAAAGCCAGCAAGACCTTCTCCAATACATGCAAAAGAAGGTGGTATATTCAAGAGAGAAACTGAACTAGAAAGCCAGTGCACTTGGAACACAAGTCACAGCAAAAGGCAAGAATCAAACACCATTCCAAAAGTCAAGGAACTAAAGTCTACAGCTTTAACGTAAGAGTTTCACCCTATTACCTCTCTTGGCTCCTAGAATGCTATCTCCAGGCATATGGTCCACTGAGATTAGAGGATCCTTCCCTACAGAAACTTGCCAACAAAAAAAAGACTTCTGAATACTAACAGATTAAAAAGTCAACCGTCAATTCAGGTGGTCTAATCTAAGGAGTCCCAGAAAGAGGGAACAAGTAAAAGAGAGTAGACAATAAAAGGGCCCACAGAGCACCCAAACAGTGAGTTCAAAAGACCCTCACTAAGGCATATCTTCATGAAATTTTTGGAATGCTGGCTAAAATGAAAGAGGAGAAAGGAAAATAAAAGAAAATAAAAAGCAATGTGCAATGTAGGGAGCATCAGAAGTCAGAACAGAAGCTGATCTTCTCAACAAAGAAGCAAAGCCCTCACCTTTCTGAGAGGTGGCAATCTACAAGTCCACATCTGAAGGAATCAGACAATGATGTTATAGTAAATCTAGCGACATCTAAGACACAAAAAGGCTCAAATTTATTTCCCTGCTTCTTTTCTCAGAAAGCAAAGAGAGGTTGTACTGCCTGAAAATGAACAAATAAACCAAGAACCTGTAAGGATGGCATAGGATCAAAAATAGGAAAGAGTCAAAAAGAATCCTTAGGATGATGATGAAGAGAAGTCCCAGGATGACTGCTGGGTTGCAGGAAGTTTAAATAACAGATTTTAAATAATAGATTGCCTATGTGTTTGACCACACCCGCAAGAATTTTACAGTTCTCTAAAAGAGTATAGGGAGAACGAATGACTTGAACATGGAAAATTAAATCCTAAGAGAAGGAGCAATTATTTATATATCCATGAAAATGTTAAAAGTCATATGAGACCTCACCCCAGAAAGAATGGCTGCTATCAAGAAATCAACAAATAACAAATGCTGGCAGGGTTGTGGGGAGAAAGGAACCCTTCTCCATTGTTGGCGGGAGTGCAGACTGGTGCAACCACTGTGGAAGTCAGTATGGAGATACCTCAAAGAACTAGGACTAGAGGTCCCATTTGACCCAGCTATTCCCCTGCTGGGTATCTTCCCA